TCAATTCCGATCCATAGCAACCCTGTATAGGGTTTCCAAGGAGCAGCTGGTGAGCTAGAAACACCAACTTTGCAGTTTAAAGGACTTTGTAGTCTTGACTCATTAGCCCACAGGGCCACACCAGGACTCCAGGACTCTGTTGTCGTTAAGTGCCTTCGAGTCAGTTCCGACCCATAGTGACCCCTTATAGGGTTTCTGAGGAGCAGCTGGTGAGCTTGAACCACCAACCTTGCAGTTCAAACGGCTTTGCAGTCTGGCACAGTAACCCACAGCGCCACACCAGGACTCTGATAGCTAATGGTAATTCTCCTGTATGCCTTGAATCCTCCCAACCACCTCTGGGTTGTTTTGGGTAAACTGTGGTTCAAGAGGTGTTGGCGCTGGGGTTGAAATGGCTGTGTTCTAAGGTTTTTACTATATCCATTTATCTGTTTTGTCTACATTTAAGGAGCTTCATGAATGCCCTAGTAGTGCTGCAGATTAAGCACTTGGCTGCTAACTTGAAATGCCAGGAGTTTGAACCTCCCAGCTGCTCTTAGCGAAAATCCACAAAGAATCCGTGGAAACCTTAGGAAGCAATTCTACTGTAAGCTATTGGGGTTGCTATGAGTTAATGGCACACAATGGCAACAGTGCTTTGTGTTACAAAAACGAAGACACAGGAGTGCAAGAATTCAAGTGAACAGAGGTAACTGCTGTTCACCGGGGAGTGCAATCATTGTTATGAAACAAAGGGTATGATTTCTTGACTGTAAAACATAATGATCTGCACTGTAAACCTTCACTGGACTCACAATAAAAAGTTAAACACAGCCACCCATGGTATCCCAGTAGAGCTGCGCCCGTAGGATTGGCAGCAGATGATTTTTCCAGATGATCACCAGGACTTTCTTCTGAGGAACCTCTAGGTGGATTCAAAGCACCAACTTTTCAGTGAGCGGCTGACTCCTCAAAGACATGCATGAAGCTCTCGTGTGTCATTGTTGCCCTGCACTGTGGCGTGCAGATGAGCTGTGTGTGTCTCGATTTCACCTCATTCTTTTGCATTTCTCCTGCCTACCCACCCCCAGTGACCAGGCAGCACCAGTCCCTGTGGTCCATCCTGTTGTGTGCAATCGTCAAGAAACCTTTGCTGGCCAGAGATAACCAGACCAGCAAGCAGAAACATTTCTTTTCCACCAACTTGTTTCCGAACCAACCAGCATTTCCCTGTATGGATGTGTCCACCCTGCTGGAAATACCACAGGCTGCTTCCTTGTCTTTTCCTTTTGGTGGCTTTGGCTAAAGTCCCTAGATTTCCCTGCCTCCTCCAATGCCCTCAAAGCTTCCGGCACCACACGCCACACTTGCCTGGGTCTCTGCCCAACCTGACCCTGGGGGGGCCTTTCTCAGACTCTGGCCTTATTCTCCAGGCTTCCCCTTCACAAGGTGCCAAATGGTGGCCCAGCGGCCTCATCCGACCCACGGACAGCTTTTGTTTGGTCCTCAGAATGCTGCTGGCTTTGGCTTTGTTTTCAGTTTGAATGTCATTAGGAGGGGCCAGCACCCTCTGAATTCGCCACAGTGCCGACCATTCTCAGTTGTCTTGCACCCGTCTGTGCCATGCATTTCCATCACCTGCCAGGACCCTGAAGCCATCTGAGTTTGTGAAACCCTGCTGCTCACATTACCAGGGATCACACCCACTCCCACCTCGTTGGCTGCCACCAATGGCTCACACTCCATCTCCTTGACTCATGAGCCACCATCCCCGGGTGGAGTCTGTTCCAGATGCATGTTCCAGTCTCCCGCCCTCCCCCAGGTCGGAGTGCACCATTCTAGGGCAGGGATGGAAAACTCAAATGCCTACAGGGGCCAGGTGGGTCATATCAATGAGTGAACTAGTCAGGTATAAGAAAAGCCAACCGCCAGAAATATCATCAAATCGCATCTTTACTGAACGGTGGTGAACGCATGGAACAGAATACAGACAGGTCTGAGAGTGGGGGAGAGGGGTCAGAGTTGAAAGTCAAAATTGAAAAAATACAAATTGAAAAATAGAAGTATTTCATTATGAAAAAAATCTCTCTCTCGCAATAATGCTTTCTGTTTCTGGGTTTTGAAGCTGGGAAGCTGGCCTCTTTTCCCTTAGCCCCCAGTGGAACAAAGGCAGGTCCTGTAGTCTCAGAGCCATGAGCAGTTGGGAACTCAACCCTGAATCCTTTGACCTGGGCACCATGTTGGATTCAATTTGGTGCCTTAATGGAAAACAGCTACTCACAGGCGTGGGGTCCTCCCATACCTGGATATTTGGGACAGAATGGTGATCTTCGAGAACCCACACACACCCTATTTGCAGAGTCATTCCAGATACTGATTTGGGGTCTGCATTCCCATGGTAACTTAAGTCACTAGACAGCTGGCTCCTTTTCATCAAGTCTGACTGCAGAGTCTTTGGGGAGATTCCGTCTTCCACCCCACAATGTGGGTGAATTTGGTCCAGGCAGTCACCAGCATTCCAGACACCAATGTCAGTGGAGGGAAGAGGGCTTGGATGTTCCTTGCCCATGGTGTCCCCAGTTCCAGCAGGGTGCAGGAAATACAATCATACATCCAAGGAGCTGCCTGGGAGAAGAGCACCCCTCCACCTGGTGTTTTCTGACTGAGACCTTGGTGGGAGAGCCAAGGTGTGACTTGGTCCTCATGTGAAAGGACCCAAGTGGATTTATCACTGAAGTCTGGTTTCTTCCACACACATTGAACTCCTGTGAAATCTTACAGGTCCGGCTCCCTGGCGAGCTGTCTGTGGTGACGGCACGGCAGTCAGTGGTGACCATTTCTCAGAACGAGTCCATTCCCGGTAAAGCACACAATGACCTGTGTCCTTGGACCCAAGGTGTTCTGACACATCCCTCAGTGACACAGGTCACTGGGTGATCATGGCTGTCTGCTGTTGTCCTTGAACATTTTGCCTCATCTCTCAGTCCACAGAATAGAAGTCATTCTCTGGGGCTCGGCTCCATGGGGTCACAATGTACTTCCTTCACATGGCCACCAACAAAGCCAATGAGGTGGAAACAGTTAACGCTGGAGCAGCGGTGAGAGGAGAGGCCTCAGTTGCTTTGGCCAATGCAAGCTGCCGGATGGTGAATCCTGATTGATCCCCAACTTGCCTCGCTGTGCGAAATGCACATCAGACTTAAGCGAGTGGGGGGAGTGTTTGTGTTTGGGAAGCGGTGCCCTGCTGGCAAATATAAGCCTCCGTCACCTGGAGGTTTGTGGGCCTGGGTCATTCTCCCCACGATTCCATCCCAGTCACGCGAGTCACACCGCTCTTGGTGCTCCTGAGCAAACCCTATTGACACTTGAGGCTCTTCTTCAGCTCGTTGAGGATGGCGTCGCGCGTCTGCTCCGTGTACTGGTCGTAGCTCTTGCTGTGCTTGGACTTATAGTGGCGTTTCAGGTTGTACTCTTTCAATACAGACACGATTTTTCTGCATATTAGACACGTAGGCATGCTCTTCACTTCCACAAAGAAATAAGCTCGTTCCCATTTCTCTCGGAACACGCGGCTCTCTCCTTCTCGCTTTCGTTTTGCCGCTTGTGATAGAGACATGGTTACAAGAGAGATTTCACTTTCCTCTTAATGCCACCATGGGGGGGGGGGGGGGAAGGGAAGGATGGACCCTCTGCCTCACGGTGGGGGGAGCCAAGAATGGGTGGTGGGGACTGTGGCGAACCAGAGAGCACGGGTCCCAGCCCACTGTCACCAGGCAGCAGGACGGGCCCAGGGCCAGCTGGGTGGACTGGTCAAGAGAAGCTAAGACTGAGAACTGCTTTGGTGTGTGTGAGCAACCCTGAGTTTTACAGCTGACATGTTGGGGAAAAGAACAAAAATGCCACGTCTGCTAACACACGGAAACACAAACAAAACTCAGCTGTCGCCCAACCCCCACCCCCCCCAGGGCAGCTTCCCTTCCATTAGGGGCCTGGGAATCTGCATGCTCACCAGCAACCCAACCCATTCTGATGCGGCTGGTGCCGGCATGGACTGCGCCACCGAGAAATGTTGGTGGAGCCTGTGAACAGGCAGTGAGCTCCCTCACCGCTCACTGTCAGGCCTGTCGTCTGTATCTGGCTGACCCTTGGGCGTCTCTCCACCGATGTCCTTTAGGACTCTGGTCTCAGCATATCCTACCCCAGGGAGTCCACCTTGGGGGCGGTCCCTTAGTCCACCCTATACAAACACACACTGTCTGCCACGTACAAGGTGGCTTTGAAAAATTCCTAGCAAAATGGAATTGAAAGACAACAGAATTTTGCCTTGAACTTTAAAAAAAATTCTCTTATACGTGTCTTGGGCCTCCAGCCTGGCCTACCTAGGATCCATCTGAGGCTGTTGGCACTTGCTACCTGCTCATCTTCCTTGTCACCTGGAAACAAATGGAGGCCTCATCTTCTGCCATCACCTCCACCCCCCACTCCTTCACCCATCACTCTGGTCCCAGCCCCACTTCTTGTGCTCAGGGTCCTGTTCTGGCCTCATCTTCCTCACAGAACCACTGTCCCAGTCCTGCCCTGTCACCTGCCTGTCACACTCACAGCTGAGTCTGGTCTCCCCAGGCCAAGCCACCCCCTCAGGACCTGAGTCCTCCCAGCTGACTAGCACCTCCCCCAGCTCCTTAATCAGCCACCTTGTCACTCTGCTCCTCTCATCTCAGTCCCAGAATCACCAGCTTCCTGCCTGGCCTCACCTCCTACTTCTCTCCTCCTCCAGGGAGTCTGTCCTGACGCCCCAGCTGCTTTGTGTGCCACTGTTGGCCACCTCTGTCAGCACTCCAAGTTACACCTGCCTGTACCCTGCCCTGAGGGGCTCACTGCAGCCAGGGCAAAGCAGACTGTGACTTATCCCGACACGCAGGCCCCACCCTCCCGGGGCCTCTGCCAAGTCAGCTGAGGTGCGTCTCCCCCTGGTCTCCTCCCACCCAGTCCTGGGGGACGTCAGTGACGGGAGTCGGGGCGTGTGTTAAAAGGAACTTTATTGGGGTGTCGGGGGTTCAGATGAGGTCCATGAGGATGTCGTCCTCCATGACGCTGGGCTGCAGGCCCGGCTGGGGGACCGGGCCCCGGGGACCCCCGCTCAGCAGCATCTGACCTGGGGGGCAGTGGGGAAGGGACTGCATCTCCCAGTAGGCCCCTCCCTCCTCCTCTGGAGCCCAGGGTACCGGGCTGGCCAGGAAACTTCAGGGGACCCACTGGAGGTGCCTGCAGACCCAAACTGGCCACTCGAACACCACTGGCCACAAGCCTTTGGGAGCTTTTTCCCAAAATGCTTCTCTGGCCCAGAAGCGCGCATGTAAGGGGTCACGGGAAGCGCTTATGTCATTGCAGTTCCTCGGTCCCATGGGCCCTTAGAGCCCCCCAGAGGAGACAGGGGGCCCTTATCCTCGGATCCCAGGCAGGACTTTCCTTCCCAGGAGCCCTCACTCTGGGTGTTCTAGGTCAAGGCTGCTGGCAAGAGTTCAGCCCTCCTCACCCAGGGCTCTCTTACCTGGCAGGGGAGCCCTTGGGGGCAGCTGCGTGGGCCAGGACTGGGTGGGTGGTGGGTGCAGGAGCGGAGGCCCCAGCTGGGGCTGTCCCAGGCCCTGGTGTGGAGGGGGCAGCAGAGCTGGAGCCCCTGGAGGCTGGAGGTGGTGCAGGGAGGCCTGGGGTGGGGGCACCCCACTCTGGGGCTAGAGGAACAGAGAGCATTCAGTGGCCCTGAGGGAACTCCGCCACTGCCACCCTGCCTCCGATGCAGACTTAGGGGGTCTCAGATGGGATTTGGGGGTCATCTCTCTTCAAATGAATCTTTCCTCAAAGAAATCCAGGTGAGATGGACAGAGGGGCCCACCACTCACATCCTGGAGCGAACCCAAGCGCCCTCTTCCCAGCTGAAGGGACCACCTAGCTCAGGAGTCAGGATAAGGGGCCCGACACTGCCCATACACCCCCAAAGCTCACCGGTGGGGGGTTCAAGAGGAGGCTCCGAAGCTGGGGGTTGGCCCCAGGATTCTGGGCCCGAAGGATTGGGCCAGGTGGCGGTGGTCCAGGGGCTGCTCCAGGAGGGCCCTGGGGGGCCCCTGGGGGAGGTTGGGCAGCACCTTGGGGTTGGGGCTGCCCTGCCGCCCCAGAGGTCCCCACAGCTCCCTGAGGCTGGGGCTGCGGGGGACGGAGCTGGAGCTGAAGGAAAGTTAACAGGAGTGAGGGGAAGGGCAGAGGTCTCCAGGCACCCTTGGGCAAAGCCCGGTTCCAATGTCTGCTGTCCTGGGGTTGCCACAACTCCCCCGGATCCCACTGACCCGAGGCTCACCAGATTCTGTGCAGGCCTTGCCTGCTCCTCCAGGATTGGGCCCAGTCCTGGGGGTGCCTGTTGTCCCCCCATCTGTGTGGAGGACAAAGGGGGGGGTAGGTCAGCCACTGAATCTGAACAGGGAAGGGTCAGAGTCTAAAGGGGAATGATTTTGGGGGAGGGGAGGTCTGCAGGCTAAAAGGGAGAAACCAGGACAGGAAGTAACCCTGATACCCCAAGGTCCCACAGAGGGGACTGGGTCTAGGAGAGGAGAGAGGTGTGAAGGAAATTCAGGGTGGGGCTAGAGTAGACTAGGGTGGCTCTGTCTGGGGCTGGAGAGCCCTGAGGGCTGCTGGGGGGTTTGAAGTCTGGGCCCCAGGCAGGAAGGGGATGGGTGGGCTTGGAGCTCACCCCTCGTTGCTGCTGTTCCAGCTTCTGCTGCTGGACCTGCTTGTGGTTGGTGATGACCTGCCGAATGCCGTTGACGAAGCCGCTCTGGTCGTAGGGAATGAGGCCCATGAAGATCTTCTTCTTGGATGAGTACAGGAGCATCAGCACGCGTACCTCACATGGGGCCGTGTGGGGGAAGTGCACACAACCCGCCTGGAAGGGAGGGGTGCTTGTCATTCACACCATTCCCCCTTTTAGAAAGTTCTAGAAGCCCCACAGGTAAGAGGTGGTGAGGTTTCTGCTCCCAAATGCTGGGATAATGAAAGGCTTGCTTGAAGTTGCTACAGAGACAAAGAGTCTTAAAGGGGAGTTGGGGCCAAAAGGGACAGGGTAGGGCTGTGATGCTTGCCAACTGCAGGGAGGGAAGGCAGAGAGAAAGGACCCCAGACACTGGGATTGTTGGGCTGAATCCCAGCTTTCCCACTCGGCTGTCACAAGACTTAAGTGACTATCCCCACTTCACAGGCCTGCTTTCCTTGGCTGTAAAACACCAAGGTCGCCCAGTATCAAAGGGCCGCTGTGGGGTTCACAGCTTGAGTGAGAGGCTTAGATGTGGAGCTCAGTACTCTCAGCACCCCAGAGACTCTTAGGGCTGGAGGGGGACAGCCACACCTCTCAGCCACAACCAGGAACTCCAGGACACATCAGCCAGGGGGGGGTGGGGGTGAGGTGAGCTGCCTAGTAAAGCACTGCAAACTCTCGTGAGCACACCTCCTTTGAAGGTTTTGTGAGGGGACCCTTCTGCAAAAGTGCCCAGCAAATGTTTGGCTGTCTTTTGAATCTTGGTTTCCCTGGTATACCATTATAAAATAGACACTTGAGGGGAAGAGAAAGGAAAAGCCAGAAATATCACCATAGAAAGCTTGTAAGTCTGTCTTCTGCCTATAACTGATGGTGGTGGTGGTGGTTATGTGCCATGGAGTCGGTTCCGACTCATAGCAACCCTGTACAGGGTTTCCAAGGCTGTAAATCTATACGGAAACAGAAAGCCTCATCTTTCTCCCATGGAACAGCTGGTAGTTTCGAACTGCCAACCTTGAGGTTAGCAGCCTGACTCGTAACCACTATGCTACCAGAGCTCCTTGCCTATAACTGATTGGAATACCTAAAATGGGGCTACAATGTGTCCAGTGAAGGAGGCTTCCTGTGGAGCCTCTACAGTACATAAGACCATAAGTGGAATCCTGAACCCCATCCAGAATCTTCTGAGGTGGGAAATTTCCATTGGAAAGGACAAGCAGACCAGCCTGGAGCAGCTAGAAGAATAGAAGATACTTCTTAAAAGACAGACTGACAGGAAAAAATACAAAACAATAACGGCAGTCCGACTGACTACTACAAGAACAAGCAAGTTACTCGCCCAGGAGACATCAAGGCAAGTGGTCGGGTCCTCTCAGGGCTAACCCCCTTCCAAGACTAAGACTCAACGGGAATACACAAGCAGACATGCGCTCTGATCAATAACCTCGTTCGTCACCGATAAGAAGTGAGGGAAAAACAGCAATGAAGCTGTGAGCTAAGTCCTACAATGTTCAACAGACTCCGGTGAACCTGGGTGGAGACCTGGTCGGCCAGCAGTGTGGCAAGACCTGGGGACTCTTGGGCCGAGTCAGCGACATAGCCACAGAGGACTAGAGTGGAGAGTGAAGCATCCAGCTGATAAGAGGAATGGGCATATGCATAAGAACACCCACACTTGCAGATAATACCCACTTATCCTGGCTTCAATGACTGGATGATCAGAGCTCAACCAGAAGAAAGAAGAGGAAAAAAAGAGTCATCTGATACAATTTGATGAACTTGACCTACACCTATGGATGCAGTAGCTCAAAAAAGGGAACAAATCTTTACAGCAAGGATCATTCCTACCCCCTCCATACACAGAGTAGACAGGGATGGGCAACTTGGACATTAGCTACCCAAAATGCGGGGGATACAAAGGCAAGAAGTAACTGGCTTACAAGCTTTCAAGAGGGAACCTAGATCCAGAGGGCGCAGAGGAAGGTAGAATCTCCACTGAGTAGTATCCAATCTGTCCAAGTGGGCTGATGAAAGGAGATGGGGATAGGTCTCATGTGGTACAATAGTGAATAATTGTTATCAGGACTGACTGTGAGGGTTAGAAATGTAAAGGTAGACGTTTTGTAGAAAAAGGAGGGGAGTGGTTGACTTTGCAGTCCAGGAGTGGAGGTCCCCGGGACCATCAAGGGAGAAGAGCGGAGAGCAGGACCCTACCCAGAGGAACAGTGACGCCAGAGATGGAGGCAGAGATTACGTGGAGAAATGGAGCAGCTGGGGGACTCTAGACCCAGAGAGGGAGAAGGGCTGTGACAACTGGGGTGGGGGTGTGAGAGGCAGGCTTTCAGGGTGTTGGTTGCTTAATGATACATGAAAGGGATTGTAACCATGGCAATGAAAACGATATGATAGGATGAATGTAAAACTAATGTTCTCCCATGTAAACGATCACATAATTCACATAAAACATTAAAAAAAAAAAAAAAAAAAAGCCCAGCAAACAGGAAGTACTCAACAGTTAGGCCTGTTCTTACTTATTAGACCCTTTCCCATGAGTCCTGCAAGAGCCAACCCTGGGCACAATTGTCGTGTGGAATCTCCCTCACTTGGGTGTGTATTATCATTTTTGTGTTTATCAAGGGGTGAGGGGGGGAAGTTAAATTACTGGCCAGAGGGTGGTGGTTGTGGGTTATTGAGTTGGTTCCAACTCCTAGCAACCTTGTATAGGGTTTGTAAGGTAGGGTTTATGAGGCTATAAATCTTTGTGGGAGCATAAAGCCTTATTTTTCTCCCATGCAGCGACTAGTATATTTGAATTGCTGACCTTTGGGTTAACAGCCAAGTTCATAATCTACTACGCTACCAGGAGTTCCTTGGCTAGAGAGTACACATGTCAGCTTGGCTGAAGGGAAAGGCAATATACAATAAGGAAGCCAGCAAAAAAAAAAAAAAAAATCAAGAGTTAAGGGTAACAGAGATAAATCCTGCTACATACAGTCCTGCAATAATGGTGTGGCGCTGCAGGATGAAGTACTGGACTGCAAGGTTGGTTGGAACTACAAGATCAGCTGTTCAAACTCATCAGCCACTCCTCGGAGATTCTATAGGGTCGCTATGAGTCGGAACTGATTCGACGGCACTTAACAACACGGGTAGATACATGGAGACACCCAGGCAGAAAGGTGTGGGAGTACACCCCACATACATATAGAGTTTTGTTGAAAAATGTTTGTGCACAGGTAGTTTGCTTTGCTGTAAATATATTCATTCATTCATGTGGTAGAGCACACTGGGAGCCAAGCTATAACAACTTTTTGTTGTTGATGTTTTTAAGTGCTATCAAGTTGGTTCCGACCCATAGTGACCCTATATAGGTCTCCAAGGAGCAGCTGGTGAGCTCAGACATTTTTGCAGTCTAGCGCATTAACCCACAGCGTCACACCAGGAGTCCTACTTTTAGACATATCCAAATACCTTGAGAGAATGCTTCACGGGACTCAGGGCCTTGGTCTGAAGGGACACAAAAGTCAACTGGCATGACATAATCCAAAGAGACCACGCTCTACATCCTGCTTTGGTGAATAGTGACTGGGGTCTTAAAAGCTTGTGAGCAAACAGTACAAAAGAAGTGGCCCTCTCCCTGTCCAGAGGAAAGAAGAGTCCAGTGGACTAATGGGGTCACTCGAACCCCAGTCTCCACAACCTTGAGATGCTGCCTGGCTACACCACCAATTACTCTGAGAGGAACCACAACAGAAGGTCCTGGATAGAGCAGAAGAAAAATGTGGAACAAAATTCACAAAAACAAAGACCAGGCTTAGTCGGATAGAAACTGTGGCCCTTAGTCACCCCTCAGGTCTAGAAATGAACTCACCCCAGAGGCTCATTTTCAGCCACACAACAGGCAGCTTTATAAGGGGGAGCAGTAACACTGAGAGGCTCACACTTCTCTGAATAATGACCCAGTTGATCCACAGAGCAGCATTTGCCCAAGAACAAATAGTTCAGCAGAGTTAGGGAAAGAGGAGGCAAGGAGACAGAGGGAGGAAGTAGGAGGACGATGTTCCGTTGTGGAACAATCAATGCCATGAAACAAATGTGTGTGGATTACTGAATGGAAAACTGATCTGCCCTATAAATCTTCAACCAATTCACACACAAAAAACCCTGAAAAACAAAAAGTTAACACCTCTGAAGAAAATGGGGAGGTCAAGTGCACAAACTGATGAGACCTTGAGAAACGGCCCCCTTGGGTCTGAGGGAGGCAGGACAGAGCTTGTGCTCAGGGGTCCCCAGAGCCCAGGACTCACGAAGCCATTGCCCATGATGCGATAGAGGCCTTTAAGGGACTCCAGGTCCTTATTGGTGAAGTGGAACTGGACCATCCTCGAGTTCCGGAACAAAGGGCCCAGGGTGGTCTGGGGGAGACACAGAAGCCGATTACCGTGTTAGCAGGGGAGTATGAGAGGAACGGGAATGGGGATGAGAACAGGGCTGAGGGGGACTCACCAGGAGCTGCTGGGGGATGAGCTGCATGATCAGTTTCTGCGGCCATTGCTCCGTCTTCCTGCGAGGAGGCCAGGACAGGGTCAGCAGGCTGCACACCCACCCGACCCCCACCCACCCTGCCCTCATGGACACCTACAGGTTCTCTCCATGGTTCACGTAGACCTGGCAGGGCAGAGAGCGCGTCAGCTTAGTGTTGGCATCCACAGAGGCGGGCTTTGGCTTCTGAGGGGCCAGAAGAGTAAGAAGAGTGTTGTGATCACAAGGGGCTACTCCCGTCCTGGATGTCCCAAAGCTCAGGAGCTTCCCAGGAACCAGGGCTACGCCCAAGACCTTCAATCCCAGAATCCTCTAAGCTTCCAAATTCCTTAAATGCTGCACTCTTCTCCTGGCGCCTAAACCCTATACTCCTATAACCCTACTCTCTTTGATCTCTGTTGGGACCCCAAAGGCCAAATTTCTCCAGGTTCTGCATCTAATAAACGCATTCTTACTCTGTCTGCTCCTTAACTCGGGGTTAACTTACAGCTTCTTGAGACCAGAGTCTCACACCTCAGGGAACCCCAGCCTGTCCCCGCCCCCAGGTCCCCTGTAAGTCCACATGGCTCCCCCAAGTCCACTCACCTCCTGCCACTCGAGGACCCCACTCCAGGCCAGAAGTTTGTTGGACACTGACTGCTGCCCCCCAAGTGCTGGAGCCCCTAACTGGGCCGGGGAGGGGCCGCTCACACCTCCTGGGGCCACCGAGCCTGCCTGCCAGAGGGGAGGAAGGAGAGCAATGGTAGTGGGGTCAGACTATGAGAGGGAACATCCTGACAGGACCAGACTGGGCACCCCAACCCCCAGAATGCTGTTCTACTACCACCCCTCTAAATTTAAGGACTCCCAGGAACTACAAATCCCAGGATGCCTTGGGCTCCTTAAGGAAGCACAAGGTCTACCATCTTTCTAGACCCTCGAATCTCAGTTGAGTCAGTAGCATGAAGTGCATAAGCCTGCAAGGCTCGAGCCACAGCCCCTGGGCCCTTCTCAGGAAAGCCAACAGCTCACTGTGGGCACCTTCTCAGCCACGAGGAAGGAAAGGTCATTGGGGGGAACGTGGGGGGAGTGCCACCACCTACCATGGATGGTGCCCCAGTCTGCACAGGGGGAGCCAGGCCTGAGCCGGGAGCCACGCTGGACACCAGGCTGGGCTGGGACACGGGAGTTGGCTTCGGGGCTCCAGGGGGCCCCGGGGGCATTGGGGGGGCTGAAGCCTGGCTGAAGGGGGTACCCACTCCTGAAGCAGCCTGCTGGAGAGGGTTGATGGGTGAGACTGCAGGAGAAGAGCGGGAACAGATGTGAGCGGACATGGGTGAGGTGAATGACTGTTGGGCCCTCCTTCCCCAACTTGCCCAGGACTCACAGCGTGGGCCCAGCCCAGCCTTCTGGTTCTTGGCGGCCTCCACTGCGTTCTGGGCAGCTACCTGAGCCGCACTCAGATTCCCAGGGACCTGAGGGGAGACGGGAGGGTGGTGAGGATCACGTACCCCAACCAAAAGGCAGATTTTCTGGGAGGGATCAGTGTCTCATGAGGTCACAACGTCCAACATCCCATGGCAACAAGACTCCTTTAAATCTCGTATCCTGAGGGAGGCTCCCATCATCCCAACATCCAATGGGGCCGTCCCAAGCCCCAGGAACTCATCCTGCTCCTAGTGACGCCTTACCTGGTACTGCTGAGGCACGGGGGGCAGAGGCTGCTGGGGTGCTGCTGAGAGCGCGGCACCAGAGGTGGGGGCTGGAGGCAGTGGGACGGGCTGCTTTGGCTGGAGGGGTCCTGGGGCTGAGCCACCTCCGACTGAGAGCCAGAAGGATGGAGAGGGGCCCAAGAGGAGAGAGAAGAGCCAGTTCACGGGTGGGCAAGGGAAGCCCCCCTCATGTTCCCACCCCAGCCTGAGCCCACACCAGGCCTCACCGGGCAGCACAAGCCCCCGCACCAGCACCATGTGCCGGGGGTCCTGGCTCACATCTGTCGGTGGCTGCAGAGGTTCCAGTAGGGCTGGGGGAGCCGCCTTCTCAAACAGAAGCCGCAGAGCAGGCAGCTTCCGGGGAGACACGATGGAGAAGTGGATGCCTTGCTGCAAGGAGAGGGTGGCGAGAGAGCCTTCAGGACGGCCCTATAAATCACAACTCCCAGCAGGCCTTGGGCAGGTGAGCTTGAGCTTGTTCAACAAGAGTAAGATGAGCTGGCCAGAGTCTAGGACTCTTCTGTGGCCCCTGTTGCCCCCCACAAACCTAGGGAATCTGGGACTCCAGCCCCCTTCTTCCTTAATCCCAGGATTCCAGGACTCCAGCCTCCTCTTCCAGATGCCTTCTCCCTCAAACCCCAGAATCCAGTTCCAAGCCCGTGGTCCATCCGACCCTTCCTGTGGCCCCAGACCCTCACCTCCCCAATCTTCTGCACGAGTTTCTCTGTCGTGTACCCCGAGTACATGGTACTCTCCACAGCAGGCAGCAAGTACGGCGGCGAGTTGCAGATGAGGAGGCAGACGCGGTGTGTCTGGCCACTGCTGGGGACAAGGAAAGCCATGGAGTGGGGGCAGCAGGGACCCTGAAGAGGGACCAGGCTGAGGTGCAGGTGGCCCGCCAGTCTGAAGTCAGGGGGCAGTGTCCCCACATTACTAAGGAAAACACTGCAGCTCAGAGAGGTGAAGCAGCTGGCTCTAAGCTGCCCAGCAGGCAGGTGACCCAGCTCTGGCTGACTTGCACACAGGGTGACTGAGACTGGACACTGGCCAGGCCTCCTCTGCAAACAGCGCCTCTGGACTCTAGACCCCTGGGCTTACGTACATCTGTTCTCGCATCTTCTTGAAGTCATCGAACAACTGCAGGGCGGTGCTGAGGCCCTCGGCGATGAGGCTACAGCTCTCACCTCCTCCACCCATGAACCTGTGGGGAGAGACACTCAGCCTTCAGGACCACCTGAGCAGCCTGCTCCCAGGCTGCCCCTCCCCGAGCTGCATTAATCTCAGATCCACGGGGACACAGTCTCATCTTCAGTGCTGGTATGGCACCAGGCCAATAGCATAAGGGACAAGACACCTGTCACCTTAGTTCAGAGGAGCGGCCTAGGCCCTAATCGGAATTGAACAAATAGAAGCAGCTCATTTGTCGAAGGTTTTTCAGTATATATTCTCTGCCACAATGAAAAAAAAAAAACAAAAAACTTATTATTGATTTGGTGGTTGTGATGTGCTGCAGAGTCAGTTCTGACTCATAGTGACCCTGTATAGGGTTTCCGAGGCTGTAAATCTTTATGGGAGCAGAAAGC